TCCTGGTGTAGCACGGTCCCCTTGGACTGTGCGTGCCAGCGAGGGCCCACCCTGGCGGGAGTCTCTGGGGTACTGTCGCACCTTTGGTGCCCCACCACGCCCCCGCCGCGCTGCCGCCTCCCGTCTGTATTTTCGGGATGCTGCGTGAGCCTGGGCGGCGGGGACTGCGGGGCGAGCAGGCCTGCTGGCACTGGTCGGCGAGCACCGATGGTAAAGGGCATCACTTCGGCGGCGCACCCAATGCCCTCCTTCTCCTTCAAGCTCCCCCCCGCTCCCCGAAGCCCTCCTCCGCCCTCCTCCTGGGAATCCCGATGTTGACGGACTGGCCCGACAGAGCAGCATCGAGTTCTGTGGTAATCGGGAGGTTTGGTCTGTTCCCGGCGGTCAGGATGCGTTCCAGGAGCCGCGCCTCCTCGGGATGGCACCAGCCAGTATTGGTCGGGCAGCACCAATCGGGAAGGACATCCATTCGGCAACGCGCCCGTGGTGAAGGCGCAGAGGGCCTGATCGGAAGGCCTGGGTGTTTCTGAGAAGCCCAGTCGCCTTGCGAGCGGCGCGCCGCTGGTCAGTTTCTTGTGCGTGGTTTCGGGGAGGGACAGAACCCCCTTTAGTAAAACATGGTTTGGTGAAAACGCCCTCGGGCCCAAACCTGGCGTGCACAAGCCTGGAAACTGACGACCGCAGCGCCCTCTCGAGAACCGAAAACGGACAATTCACTAATCGACGTGTCAGGGTACGAGATCTGTCCACCCCCGATGGTTGTGCTTAATTTGTTGTCGTTTCTTGTCTGGCGCGCCGCCGACCGTTTATGCTGAAGGATTGATCCGGTATCGCAGCATCTCAGTTGGCAGACCCAACGAGCTGTTAGCCTCCTCTTTCTGTTAATGGTAAATCGCCCTGCGCAACGCAGTGTGTTGGGATGATGGGTGAAGGATGGATGGTGCTGTGCACACGGCGTGTGCATACACATATATATATATATATATACACGCACCACACCGCCGTGGTGACACACTTGCCCCTGAGGACATGGAACACCGTTTGAGTGGCCCGAGGCAGAACCGATTCAACCTTTCTGTGCATTCCTAACTCGGACCATGACGCCGACAAGCACAGGTGCGGACGCCGTAAGGTCCAACATTTCTCGAATCACGGACCCGACACGATGCGGCCTCTCCGCAGACATCAGAGGGGCAATCACACGGCGGCTTGATCCTGCCACCAGAGAAGCAGCACCTGCCCCCCACAGTCCCCGTGCTGCCACGAGGAGTGCTGCATGAGGAACGAAAGGGCTCTCATGGCCACGGCGAGCCTCGGCCTCGAACAGGCGCCCCGACCCAGATCCGAGGAACGGCCCGAGAACCAGAACCCCTCCTGAGCCCAAGGTGGCACTCATTCCGGTGTCTTGACTGCACGCGGCCTCGCCCCTGAGGTCCTAGACGAGCGCGTCCCACTACTCGCAAAGGAACTACTCGCAAATAACCTGGATCCGCCACGGGAAATCTACGATATATTGCACGAAGGCGGACGTATGGTTTTCCGGACGTTTGCGAGTAGGCACTTTGCGAGTAGTGGAACGCGCTCGGTGAGATCCGACGGCGCAACAAAAAATGAAACATCCCACAAAATCGCGACGGGAGCCCTGGACCCCATCTTCCTCAGCCATGGCCCGAGACTTGGCAAACACGCCTGGCTCGAAACCACTGAGACGCCAGGATCTCAGAGGGGCCCCTCTTCCATCTTCCGTCTTGCATCACCGCCCCCCCCCCCCCGGCGCAGAACTTGCAGCGCTGGCAGCCGTGCCGGGGGCGGCTTTCTTCGGCCGACCGCACAGCGTGCGCGAAGCCTCCAAGAGAATCTGCCGCTCCGCTCACCGCCCGACCGGCGCTATTTCACGCCGCTGGCGGCGCCCGCGGCACCGCTCCGATCCGCCGCCGTGCCTGCAGGATGTGGGCGCGTCAGAATGCCAGGCGCTGCTCTGCAGGATTTGTTTGCACAGTCTGGCAGGGGAGCCCCCCCCCCGACCCCCAGCTCGCGGACAGCTGCACGCACCCTCCCCTGCTCCGCAGGCCACGGCCGCCCCTGAAAAACAAAAGATCCTCGCTGCCCAGGCCACGATCCCTCAGAAGAGTAGAGGCGATGTGTCCGCCCCCCCGAGCTTCCAAGACGGCCAAACAAGGTGGCCCAAGATGCCTCGAAGACTGGCCAAGACAGCCCAAAGACGGCCGAATATGGCGTCGAGGCGGCCCAAGATGCCTCCAACCAAAAAGGCCTCAAAAAGACCTCCAGAAGGGCTGGAGAAGCCCAAATCACTATTCTCCATTTTTAATGTGTATTGATTTTCGCATTCTGGCGTTGCGGGCCTTCATAACGTTGAGACGGCCCAAGAAGCCCCCTGGATGGCCCTGAGACGGCCCAAGATGCCCCCATGAGGGTCCAAAAATTACCCAAGAGGACACCACGAGGGCCAAGGGGAATCCAAGACGGCCGGAGAGGGCCTCCCGTGAGACCCAAGATGGCCTTAGAAGGCCTTTCGACTGCCCAAGAAAGCGGCAAGACGGCCCAACGAAGCCTGCCAGGCACCCACCATACTGCCAAAAGGGCACCAAGACGGCCCAAGAGAGCCCCAAGTCAACCCAAGAGGGCCCCAAGACGGCTCAAGAGGGCCCCAAGGGACCCCCAAGACTGCCTCACAGAAGGCCTGGCCAGCCACAAGACAGCCCGAACGAGTTCCACGAGAACTTTTCAAATAGTGAAGACGCAAGGTGTCACGCGCGACGGCCTTCCTCTTCCGCCTCCTCCTGTTCCTGCTCCTGCTGCTGCTGCTGCTGCTCCTCCTCCTCCTCATTATCCTCACTTTCATTACCATCATCATCACCATCGCCATCGCCATCGCCATAATCATCATCATCATCATCATCATCATCATCATCATCATCATCATCATCATCATCATCATCATCATCATCATCATCATCATCATCATAATCATCACCATCACCATCACCATCACCATCAGCATCATCATCAGCAACATCATCAACCTCATCATCAGTATCATCACCATCAACATCATCATCAACATCTTCGTCATCATCATCACGCAGCAGCAGCAGAGGCATCATAATCTTCACCATCGTCCGCAGCAGCAGCATCATCAGCACCATCAACATCATCATCTGGATCATCATCATCAGCATCATCACTATCATCATCGTCATCATAATCATCATCATTATCATCAGCAACAGCATCATCGTCATCATCACCGTCATCAAAATCATAATCCTCATCATCAGCATCATTACCATCAGCATCAACATCCTCATCATCACCGTCATCACCATCATGATCATCAACTTCAGCATCACTATTAGCATTAGCATCAGCGTCCGCATCCTCATCCTCATCCTAATCCTACTCATTATCATTCTCAACCTCATTCACATCTTCATCCTCGTCCGCATTATCATCACCGTCAGCATCATCATCATCAGCAACAACATCATCACCATCATCATAATCACCATCACCACCACCATCACCGTCACCATCATCATCGTCAACATCATCATCAACAACATCATCACCACCATCATCATCATCATCATCATCAGCAGCATAAGCATCAGCATAGTCATGATCGCGGCTCTCCCAAGGTTGGAGACACGGGTTGTCACACGTGACGGCCTCCCGCGCACCCCCGAACAGTCGCATCCAGAAAGGTTGGGGTGGCACGGAGGCGGGACTTGCCGCAGGCAGCTGGATAGATGCAGTCGCAGACGCGGGCGGTCTGTGCCATCTCTCGGACTTCGTGCACCCGGACGATATCGGCACGTCCAGCAACGGAGGCGGCGACGGTGGCCGCGTTCCCAAAAACACGCCTCTGGGCACCAGAATCTTGACTCGCAAGCGCGTGTGATTGATTAGGAGACTCCCGGTGCAACGTATCTCGATCCAACCTTATAGGGGATGCTAAAAGGTAAGACATGATAAATATTAACTAGGACCGGCTCACCAGATTGGCCGAGTGCAGCAAGCGCCAATTCTCTACCCCAGGGAGTGAAAGGTTGTTGCCGCAGCCCCATTGAACACAAATGGAAACCCAGACATGCGCTGCCTTGTTATTCTATCCTGCGGGGCACCCTGCTCCCCAACCCCCCGCTGCCGTTGCTCTCCTGGTCGTCCACCATGTGGGCTTCTTGGCGGGGTCGGGCGTGAAGATTTCTACACAACCCCACTTGACGCTGCAATGCCACTGTCCTCACACTCGCGCATGTGATCTGCAACCGATGCGCCGTCTAGGCACGGTTCGTGACCGACCGGTCCCTGGAAGTCCCAACCCTCTCCCTGGGGGCCAGCTCTTCATCCCGAGTCGTCTTTTGATGGTGGGGCTAGGCGAAGGCCCCCTGGAGGCCGACAACATCCCAAACAAAATCCGTCAATCTTCTTGTCACGACGCGAGCATTTCTGGGAACACAGGCGGTAGAGGACGCTGGCAGGCCGGGCGCGCAAGATGTGAACGCGCCCCAGGAGGAGGGGGGGAGGAGGAGGAGGAGGAGGAGGAGGAGGAGGAGGAGGAGGAGGAGGAGGAGGAGGAGGAGGAGGAGGAGGAGGAGGAGGACGAGGAGGACGAGGAGGAGGAGGAGGACCATCTGGTTTGAAGCCCTGAGCGCCTCTTTGCGTCAGGCTCGCCCAGGATCGTGCCCAGGAAGCGCTTGCGCGAGGCCCCCACCAGGACGGGAGACGGCCGCAGGCCCTGCACCAGCGCCGCGCAGCTCCGCAGGAGCTGCAGGTTGTGGTCCATGCCCTTTGCGGGCACGCCCCCCTCCGAGACAAGTGATGGCGACAGCAGGCACTCGTCGGGCGTTGGCAGAACTGGGT